TACATACTACAATGAATCAAACCACGAACTTTTGAGAAACTTGCTACACGAGGGCATGACATGGAGGTGAGCATCGCGAGTCATGAGAAGGCATCTCCTTTTGCTGATCTTACAAAAGAAAAGAAGGAGTTCAGAAAATGTATGACCTCAAAGACCCAAACTAAGGAATCTATGGCGGTGAAAGCAACTTCTATAAAGGTAACTACCAAGAGTAAACTAAAAGAGGAGGAAGCCGCAAGTCAATATCCAAGAGAGGAAAGGCGACATCCAACCTTGAAGGAGTTAGAGACAAAGGTTTACCCATTTCCAGATGCAGATGTACCTATGATCTTTGAGGAAATGCTAGCTAAGAAATTTATTGATCTTCCTGAATCAAAGAGGCCCGGAGAGATAAATAAGGTTGGTGATCCTAGATATTGCAAGTTCCATCGCGTCCTTGGCCACCCGAAAAGTAAATACTTTACCTTGAAGGAGAAAATCATGATGTTGGTAAGTGAAGGAAAAATCATCATTGACCAAGATGAAACGGCGAAGGCAAATCATTCTAGTGTAGCACCAAATCAAAAGAAGTTTTCAAGGTCATCTTCTATTCCAAACACCACCATCTTGCGGTTCAGAAGTTTAGCACCTATTGAAGTTGATGTTCCAAGGAAAACTATTAAGAGAGATAGACAACCACAAAGAAAGTGAAGTTTATGGTTAAACTTTGATTACTCGTAAGAAGCGGAGACATCAAGCAGTTCTTAGGACATGGCTTCCTAAGACAAGAGCAACAAAGAGTGATGTAAATCAACTACAACTATCAAAAAGCTCCAAGCCTTTTACTATCCAAAAGATTAATAGTTCTTTATCACAGAAGGTTCGAAGGCCCATTACACTAGATGAATTATTTCCTAAAAAATTCTTTTACGGTAGTCAAAATGGTGCAACACATGTTATTTCCATCACAGACGAAACAAAGGTAAATGAAGGTGAGCATAATCCAACAATAACACAAGAACATCAAACTGATGAAAAAGTTGCCCCATGTTGTGCTACAATATCCTTCACAGATGATGACTTGTTGTTAGGATCTAAGTTGCATAATAGGCCCTTGTTTGTTTTAGGGTCTATTCGAGAACAACATCAATAATCGCATACTAATCGATAGTGGTTCGGCAGTCAATATGATGCCAAAAGTTGTTATGAAAAAACTTTGGATCTCCATTGATGAATTGTCCAAAAGTAACCTAACGATTCAAGGTTTTAATCAAATAGGACAACGATCCATAGAGAAGATTCATGTAGGATTGTCCATTGGCGACGTGAAATCAAACACTTTGATTCATGTCATAGATGCCAAAACATCATACAACTTGTTGCTTGGATGTCCTTGTGTTCATGAAAATGGAGTTGTACCATCTACTTTGCATCAGTGCATGAGGTATATGAAAGACGGTGAAGTCGTCAAAATAAATGCAGACATCAATCCTATCACCGAGACGGAGTCATGTTATGCAGATGCAAAATTCTATTTAGGTTCTGGAAAAGCAAATATGAAGGAACATGTAGAAGCCACCCCAATTAATCTCAAAGATAGTAAAGTTCAATGGGTCGCTATTAAATGGATAAGAAGAGAATGGAAGAGGTGTTCATTAAGCTTTCACCACCTCAAGGAGACTTACTGACTAATATGGATGACAAGAAACCAATTTTTCACTATATTCTATGTAAACGTCGAAAAAAGGGGCAACCACAGCTACAGGAATGCACTCAAAAAGTCCAACCACTGAGGAAGGAACTTAGTCACATAACATTCCAAGATTTGAAGGAGAAAATGACCGTCCCAATTGCACAAGTCTCATGTATCGCTTTGGAGCCTCCAAAGGCAATAGGCAAGTTGGTAAGATAAAAGAGAACTTTGATCAAAAGTTCTTCACATTATTTGAATAATCAGGCTATAATTTCTCAAATCCAGCGAATTTAGGAGATCTCAAGGATGATTTCACTGGTGAAAAGATACACAGGCTTGCAAAGTCTCAAATGGAGTTGAGAAAGCAATGATATCATGTCGCTACTTATAAGTTTGGGTTAGGATTAAACTTGTCGGATCCTCTTTGGATTTCGTCTAAGAAGGGGAAAGAAATAACTTCATCTCACTACACCTCTACAGAAATACAGAGGAATAACACCATGACAGACTTCAGTGTTTGAATGCATCAAAAGACTAACACCCTATGTTTCTGCATTGGAAAGGTTAGGCTGCAAAGATGAAAGAGAGTTATCTAAACAAGTGGACGAATATGCCACCATCTCAAATACCTCTGTATTTCATCGCTTGGGAAACAAAAGAAAGTCATTATCCGAAAGGAGGTTGCTGGAGCATAAAAATCAAGAATCTTGTGATGTAATTGACGACAAAGAGATTCATAATGTTATTCCATCACGTATGAAGATAAAGTCTGTATTGTTGATCACCGCTGATGGTTCTTTGAAGGTGAAAAGAAGCGCAATTGTTGTCAGCAACTAATTTCATGGAGAAACCAAGAAGGAGAAAGACAAAGTCATCACAGTCTTCATGAGAAGTGAGGTGGAAGATTAAAACTTGACACAATCATCCTATCACATAACAGAGGAAGAAGTTCCAGACGTTGATGATACAAATGATGATGTCCAAGAGGCTCCCCTCAATTAGAGGATGGCGTACAATCAACTGTAGACTACCTCAAGAAATTAAATATAGGCACTCTAGAAGATCCACGTCGAATCTTTGTTAGTGAACTTCTTACACCAGAAGAAGAGAAGAAATACTTCAAGTTATTGGTTGAGTTCAAGGATTTTTTTGCTTGGTTGTACAAAGAAATTTTGGGCCTTAGTCCTAGGATAACTATTCATCATTTTGGGATAAAAAAGGGAACATGTCCTATAAAGCAGTCACAACGAGTGTTTCGTCCAGAGTTGGTCACACAAATTGAAGTTGAGGTCAACAAGCGCATCGAAACTTGATTTATTCGAGAAGTGAAATACCCTTTGTGGATCTCAAATATTGTACCTGTTAAGAAGAAGAATGGTCAAATACGCGTTTGCATTGATTTTTGAGATTTGAACAAGGTATGTCCAAAAGATGACTTCCCTTTGCCAATCATTAAGCTCATGGTTGATGATACAACCGAGCATGAAGCTATTTCATTTATGGATGGATCTTCTAATATAATTAAATCAGAATGTCTCAAAAAGATGAAGAATACACTGCATTTCGAACTCCTAAAGGAATTTATTGTTACAAAATGATGACCTTTGGTCTAAAGATTACTGGGGCCACCTATCTACATGCAATGCAAAAAATCTTTGATGACATTATTCATAGGAGGGTGGAATGTTACATCGATGACTTAGTGGTAAAGACGAAGCAAAGGGAACACCATATTGAAGACCTTCAAATTGTTTTTGAAAGGTTAAGAAAGTTTGACTTGAAGATGAATCCGCTCAAATGTGCACTTGGAGTTACCTTAGGAAAGTTTCTTGGCTTCATTGTGCTTAACCGCGGTATTGAAGTTGATCCTGCAAAGATTGATGTCATTCTAAAAATTCCTGATCCAAAGAACTTGAAAGACCTCCGCAGCCTGCAAGGAAATTTGGCATTCATCCGGAGGTTTATTTCTAACCTAGATGAACAATGTCAACCCTTTAACCATTTGATGAAGAAAGATGCTCTTTTCCACTGGTAACAATTATGTTGAAATGTCTTTGAAAGCATGAAAGGATACTTGATGATTGCACGTGTATTAGGGGCACCAACTCCTGGAAAGCCATTAATATTATACATTACATCGCAAGAGCAATCACTTGGGCACTTCTTGCTCAAGAGAATGAAGCTAAGAAGGAACAAGCATTGTACTATCAAAGTTGGACCTTTATAGGAGCTGAGTTGAATTATACGGCCATTAAGAAGATGTGCTTAGCATTACTTTATGCAATAAAAAAATTGAGGCATTATTTTGAAGCGTACACTATCAAGTTAATTTCTCAAACTAATCCCATGAAGTTTGTAATGACTCGATCAGTTCTCTCAGGACGTCTAACAAGATGGTCTATATTGTTCAATCAATATGAAATCATATAGCCACCTCGAAAAGCTGTGAAGGGGCAAGCACTTGCTAATTTCCTTGCTGATCACCCTCTTCCGGGAAAATGAGAAACTTCAGATGAGTTCCCTGATGAAGATGCATTTTTAGTGAAGATTTGTCGGCTTGGACAATGTTCTTTGATGGATCTGCACACCGAGATGGAGCAGGGGCAGGAGTGGTGTTGATAACTCCAGACTAATCTTACCATTCTCATTTGTTCTAGGTGAAACGTGTTTGAAAAATGCTGTAAAATATCAAGCTTTTATTGTGGGCCTTGAAATGGCATCAGATATGAAGATTTCTCAATTAGATGTATATGGTGACTCTCAGTTGATCATCAATCAACTCTCAGGGAGTTATAAGGTAAAGAAGGAATATATTTTGTCATATCACCAATATGCTACTTTCTTACTTGAAAGGTTTGATCAAGTGTTCTTAAATCATGTCCCAAGAGAAGAAAATTGCATGGCAGCTGCTTTGGCTAGCTTGGATACAACGATGGCACTTAGAGAAAATGAGACAACAAATATGTGTGTATGCCATCGATGGGTTATTCCTGGTTGTCTTGATCTTCAAGTCGACGAAAGCCATCATATATCTGTTCAAGTGGTTGAAGAAGAAGATTGAAGAAAACCACTAATTAAGTATCTTGAACATGGAAGGTTGCCTGAGGATCCACGAGTAAGAGCAGACATTAAGAGAAGGGCACCACGATTCATCTTTCACAATGGAATGTTATTTCGTCGTTCTTATGAAGGACTATTCTTGCGGTGTCTTGACAAAGAAAAAGCTCAACAAACAATGGAGGAGACGCATTCTGAAACATGTGGAGCACACCAATGAGGGCCTAAACTTCATTTTTGCATCAAGAGTATGGGCTACTATTGGCCAACAATGGTGATGGACTGCTTAGAGCATGCAAAAAAGTGTCAAGCATGTCAATTCCATGTGAATTACATCCATCGATCTACAGAGTGTCTGCATCCGACTGTAGCATCATGGTCGTTTGATGCGTGGAGACTTGACATTGTTGGACCTCTTCCAAAGTCATCAAAAGGACAATTGTATATCTTAGCTACCACTGACTATTTCTCTAAATGGGCTGAAGTTGTACCATTAAAGGAGGTAAAAAAGGAAAATGTTGTTGATTTTATCTAATCAAACAAAATTTTTAGATATGGCATACCAAGATGTATAATTACTGATAATAGAATACCGTTCAACAATAAACTAATGAGTAGTTTGTGCAAAAAGTTCAGTTTTAAACATATTGAAGAAAGTAGTTGCAAAGAATAAAAAGGACGGGCATGAGAGAGTTGGTGAAGCTTTTTGGGCATCTCGTACAACCTTTAGAACGACTATGCAAGCGACTCATTTTTCATTGGTGTATGGCGTAGAAGCAGTCCTTTCATAGGAGAAGCAAATTTCATCATTGCGAATAGCAGTCCAAGAGGGACTTACAACTGAAAGCAATGCTCAACTTCGTCTAGCAGAGCTGGAGGCATTGGATGAAAAGAGACTGGAAGCACAACAAAGGTCGGAGTGTTATCAAGCTCGACTTAAAAGAGCATTCAACAAGAAAGTGCGACCTTGATCGTATCAAGTGGGAGATTTGGTCTTAGCAGTCCGGAGACCCATAATCCTCAACAAATGCATTGGTGAAAAGTTTACATCAAAAAGGGATGGACCATTTGTTGTGAAGGAGGCACTTTCAAGTGGAGCTTATAAAATTATCGACCAAGATGTGTAAGAGTTAGTCCAATCAACGCCAAGTTCCTGAAGCAATACTTTCCATGAAGGATGGCTATGCTCCTTAAGGTATGATCATAAACTTCATGCTACTCCTGGACCGTAAGAGTATAAATTGTATAGTCCCAAAAAAACAAAATAAATAAAACTCATCATCTTGAACTACGATATGACTTGATCCTCTTCACCGAGGTATGTAGGCTCTTGGAGTAATCACTCTGAGTTCAGTTAAATGAAAAAAAAGGTTTGGTGGCCTTGCGTGATCATCACACTATCTCTTTACAAAATCATGTAGCTAGCAAATGAGTTCAAATGTGGCACAAACGATCAAAGTAGAAGATTTTTGAAACCATATCCGCATTATAAGAAGAAACTCATAAATATGAACTCTACATTAGTCACGTATATTGAACTATAATATTTCAAATTTCTATGTCAAACATGTTAGATTTGGAGTCAACTTTGGGTATTAATTTAATAAATTCAAAAGGGATTTGATTTGAATTTTGATATGCGACAGACTGATGAATTCATTGGCATTGGATGAAGTGAGTTGCAATTTTACTCGTGTTTTTGCTTACAATATAGATAAGTTAGTCATTCATTAATGCTTCAGTATGTTACTGAAAATTAGGGGAATCTTTACCTATAACATCAAATTGGAATACTCTTCGAATCAAAGCTCTATGTTGAAATGGTATAGCCGCAAAAATCATGATCTGAACACTCAAAGTTCAAGAGACAATCTTTTGTTTTTGTCAAAAGCGCACAAATTATTGGAAATGACATTCTGGTCACATAGTCAACTTCAAATATTTGTAGACTGCTACATCGCGTTATTGATTTTCTCCCAAAGTTGCGCAAAGCTGAAGAGTTTAACGAAGCAGAATTTTGAGCTCACTTTGAAAAGATATATGCGCTAATCTAGAAATCTTTTGGATGTTATTTTTATATGTGTTGTACATCTATGAGTTATTTTTTTAACAGAATGAGAATCATGTCATTCCGAGGCTCCTTCGCCAAGTTATTGGTTGTCTCTCGAAGATGCGCAAAGCTGAAGATTCAAGCACGCAAACTTTGAGTCAACTTCAAACTCAAATCTAAAATAAACCATAAATTCCATGGATGTGATTTTTATACAGATTGAATCTATCGAAGTTATCTTTCCAACAAAAAAAGAATCTTATTATTCCTATACTCCTACTCCGCGTATGAATTTTCTCCCGCATGTGCACAAAGCTGAAGAAACACGAAGATTGAAGCACGCAGATTTTGAGCCAACTTCAAACTCAAATCTTTACTAAATCATAAATTCCATGTATTTGATTTTTATATAGATTCAATCTAAGTTATCTTTCCAACAATCAATGAAGCTCATTATTTCAATGTTCCTAGTTCATGCTATGAGTTTTCTTCCACATGTAAGAAAAGTTGAAGAAAGCTAAAAAAAAGTAACGTTTTGTTACAATCCACAAATAAACGCTAGCATATGCAGTCCTTTTTTTCAAAAAAGAAAGGGGGCTCGTGGAAAGAAACAATCAAAAATTTAAAATTCAAGAGAAGAAAATTTGTTAATTGCTTAACAAAAAATAAAGAACCAGTACCCATGATGAGCGAGTAAGAAAATCGTAAGAAAATAAATGAAAAAATCTAACTATGGAAAAAGCTTGAATTTTATGATTTCTTGGACACTTTTCTCAATTGCCTCTTCTAGATTGGTTAATCTCTCAATCTCATCGTTAGACATCACATTGTTTGCCTCAATGGTATAAATCTTGCCCTCCATAGTGGTGACGTTCTCTTGACTTTTGGACAACTTCTCTTGATATTTGCTAATGAGCTCGGTAACCCTTTTTTTCTTGAAAGTCAAGGCTTTTAAGTCTTTCTCCATATATGCTAAAGTTTCTTAAAGTTACTTCATGGATCCATCCAACTTTTCATGCTCCAGCTTTGCACTATCAAGGCGACGTTGTGTATCAAAGAGGGCCTTTTCATGTGATTCTTTAGTCATCTTTGATTATCTTAAAGTATCATACTCTGCATACGACTCGAAGAAATTCTCTACATGATCCTCCAAAGAAGAGACATGAATAATGTTTTCCTTCCTAATCTCCTCAAGAGTTGAAGCAATACTTGACTCCAATACTGTAAAACCATTTGAAAAACCTAAGGAAAATTGTGTAATCCATCCACATAATGCGCCCCACATCTAAGAAATAATGGATGATTTGGCGTGGTAAATGGTAGCACCAGGTTGCAATGGCCCACTTGGTGAATTTTTTGGAGGAACTACTTCGAATGAAGGCAGCACGTCAATAGAAGGTGACTTTCTTGGTAGAACTACTTCCGCAGGCATCACATTGTTAATGAAAGAATGAAAGTTTTTTGTAGCCGCATCAAGATCATTAAGATCTACTGTGAATTCTGTAACCGTGCCATTGTTAAGGTTGTCACCATATAATTCTTGAATTTACGACTAAAAAAATAAAATAATAATTAATAATAAGAAATAAAAAGATGATCAGATTTAAAAAAAAAAGAGGGCATTGTTTTGCTAGTTCAAACAAAGATGCCGAATTCGGATCCTCATCAACAAAGTTATCATCATGACAATGGTATCTAAAATGTTGATATGATGACAGGCATCATCTAGCTCTTGTGCCTTTCTTTTTGGATAATTTCAATGACGGTCTATTGGACTAGAAGACACTTTGGGTAGTCCAACACCATTAAGTAAAGCATATATAAGAGAAATTTCAACACAAGGCGTCTCAAGGTTTGACGTTTGGTCATTATCATTGTCTAATGATACATGAAGTTCATTTGTTGCAAAAGAACCATTGCCAACTTTGGAAGCAACTGAAGTCCCCTTTGAGGCTGATGTGAGGCTCCTCGATTTTGATTTCGCAGGCACATACCCATCTTTCAAGGTTTAAGACTTGGATGAGGTCTTGATGACTTGTAAAGTATCATTTCAGTTCTCTTGAGATTCGGAAGAAAGATGTGACTTTTCCTATTGTTGATCAGAAGCCTCTTTAGATAAAATGGATTCACGGTCTTGTTTTCTCTTCTACAAAATGATGTGGAGGTTTCCTTGGGATGTATTCATCATGTGGGATGGCCACCAATCTGCATACTCGTGGTTCATCAAAGGAGCACCCTCTAATGGTCACGTTAGAATCATGACTTTAGAAAAGGTATTAAGTCATAAAAAAGAATTCCAAAGTTGCACCAGTGTTGACGGTGTACCATCGTTGGGACGCTCTATAAGATCTCTGGGACATCTTGATAAAAAATAAATTGTCGACTAAATCTGACAGGGATGTAAGAAGGGTTACATAACCTGAATGAAGGTTTATGACATATTCGTTCCACGAATTTGAAAGCTTTCCAATATCACTAAGGTTCGAATCCCTCCCTTGCAGCATTACTAGATGATGGAGGCAACGGGCATCATCTTGTTGAAATGACTTTTAGGCGCCAGTAAAATCAACACATTTGACCATCTTCTTTCCAGAACTTTTGCAGAGAGGTATCGATCGTTGTGAATGATTGGCGCAGTGATGAGTCCCAAAGTATTCAATCGATAGGCGCGATGATGAGTCCCAAAGTATTCCCCAAGACAGCCATATACAGTGTATGCGGAAAATTATATTTTCCAGACTCATATTGAAGAAGTAGAGATTTCTCACAGGCCGCAATATATGATTGCAAGAAAAGGGACTGCTAAGGAGAATTTCTTTCCATGAGACATCAAGCTCGCAACTTTAAAAACACTAGCGCGCACATGGTTGAATATCTTATTCGGGAGCACAAATTTGTAAAGCCAACAAGCAAAGAACGCTGCCAAGTTTGTCTCATTTATAAGAGATTCTTACACATCTAACTCGATAGAGGGGGCATTCTCCTCATCAGTCCGCGGCAAGAAGTTTGAATCACTGTCTCCAAAAGGATTGTGGTTCAATCTTAGCTTTGTGGATTGTACCTTTGACACCTTTTGCGGAGGTTCGGCATATATATGAGTTCCTCTAAACCAAAACTTCACCCAATCGGACGGGTACCTCTTGGATATCATCTTTCGCTAATCCGTAGAAGGCCAAAAACAAATATCGACAACTTTAGGGAAGAAGCATTCATTTTGAGTATCTGTGTCAATTCTTTTGCCGAGGAAACGACTTCATTATAAAAATGCCCTTGTAAATACCAAATTGATATGGACTTCTCTCCAATGAAAGTAGAAAGTGTATTTGTAGACGGACGCCAAAGTTCACAAAAAGCATGGAGTACATTGTCGTCATAGTCGTATGTGAACAAAGAAGTATATACAGCGTCATAGACTTTGATGAGCTCCAAAATCTCCTTGTGGCGGGGCAGCACCTCGTCCACCCATCCCAGTAGCCAAATGTGTATCAAACATTATCGAAGTTAGAAGAGGGAACACGCCAATTGTTGAAATTTCCGTCAGAATGAAAAGATTTGGAAGATGATGTGTCTTGATGAATTGCAGATTTCAGTAAAGAAACTTTCATGCTAGTAGCCTTGCTCGAGAAGTTTCTCATAACGTCATTGATATCCATTTTTGACCATTCTTTAAGGAGAATAGATTCGTCATATGCCCCACTAACAAGAGAGAAGACGCCGATAGCAGGATGCTAAACTTCCAAAAGTATAACTTTGACATTTGAATTTTGTTGGTCGTCGCACACTATTTCAAAAAGAGGATGCAGTGAATCTCTGTCACAGAAGTTCATCATGTTGCGGGATCGAAGTCTTATTTTTCTATCAAGTATCTTTGAAAATATTAAACAAAAAGGATAAATTTAGATTAAGAATAAGTCCAAAGTA